AGTCCACCAATTTCTTAAAATTAAATACTATCTATAGTTTTTCATCGAAGCGTTTCATATGATAGTGATTTTAATCACTTCGAGATATCATCTATACTTGTCCCAACTATATGTCCATACTGTGCCTGTTTCGTTCCTGTCAGCTATAACTCACTTAAGCGTGTGATGTAGCGGTATAGTTCCCCTGTTGGTACAGCCAGTTGACTTGCGACGTCAAAGTGGACACCTTTGTTTCCAGCCGGGCAATATGGTAGCTCTGGTCGGACATCATGTTCTCCAGCTCCTCAATTTTGGCTATGTACTCGCCAAGGTATGAACATAAGGTCGAGTAAATAAGGTTTCCTGTGAGAAATTCCACTCGGTTTTATCGTCCTCCTTTTATCCATTGCATTGTTCGGTCTATCGTTGCCAGCTCCTTTTGTCTGACTGGAACTCCCTTTAAAGACATCTTCGCTCTGAAGGAGAGGATTCCTGAGTTAAACGGGGTAACACTTGATTATTTCCACATTAACACCCTCCTACTGCAGGTTGTCCTTTAGCCTGAACATAAGATCAGCTTTTGAGATCCCCAGTTGCGAGTCCCCGTAGCGCTAACTCTCCTTGTAATTTCTTAATTGACAATTCGAGTATGGTCTTACTTAACATACTGATTGATAAAGTCACAAGTATATAAATAAATTACAACTAGGTCAGTGGGATAATAACGCGCTGATCACGTGACGGGCCAGTGAATTCGCCTTATATTTATTTTTAATACAAACTACTTAAGAAAAATTTCCGTATATTAAGCCTATGGCTATTGCTTATGTGTAACTTAAACCTAAAAATTAATGAGCTTATAATTAATTAAGACTCAAAAAGTTCACTTTTCTAGAATCTACTAGACTTTTGGCTAGTTAAAGCTGTAGGTTCTTTATTTTTCAAATATTTAACTAAGGGTGCTAAAAATAATAATTTCTGTAATTAAGTTAGCACTTACCTTAACTACTAAGGTATGGTTTAACTAAATGATATGCATACTTTAAATATAATAATTATTTAATACTTGCAATTATATTAACAAGACAATAAATAAATGTAAAAATATTGATATGTATGTCAGTTGGGAGTGAAAAAGTGCAAATACATTGCCGGATAGTTCGTGTCACCCGCTGTGCATTCAGCGTCGCGCGACCTGTCAGACGAAGAGAGGCAGCTGTGTCGCAGTCGCCATCCAACGATAAAGCCGAAAGTGCAATGCGACCGCGTAAATACTCGGTAGTAAAGATGGCTGATAATAATATACACTGTTTGTTGACGTTGTTGATGATATTTCCCAGTAATACGTATCCATTATGCAACGATTTAGAATGGACTAGTAGAAAAGTCCCTTCAGGTTTTTTATATAAATTGGTATTATGGACCTGGGTCGTTGTGTCAGGATGTCGGATCCTGTGCGAGGGGCTGTTATCCGAGAAGATAGAGTCTGATTTGCGAAATCTATAGCTAATTTATTTTCTGCAAGAAAGGGGGTACCTATGATACCAATTGAAATATATGAGATATACCAACCTTACTATTAAGAACATTTTTTTTTAATATTATAAAACGAAAACAAAAACAATGTGTATAGTTTCTCACAGTACGAGGAACATAATTGCGATGGATTGAAAAAATAGTGTTGCTGAAGTTAAATGAATTGTATTAACGTAAAATAACTGCATGGTTTAGCTTTTTAAATGACGAGTCAGTGAATGAAAAGGTATCCTTGAATTTAAATACCAATTGAAATAACTTACTTGAAAGAACACAGTAAATGAAGTAACACCCTTTAATTCAAATGGTAAATGAAATAATTTTATTTTAAAAGTAGCAAAAAAAATAAAAAGAAACACTTCTTGTTTATTTGCTTACTTATTATCGTTGATAATTAAAAAACCCCTGTATGTGTAGTAGAGGTGATGGCCAAATCAGCTGGTCAACTCTGGATAGTGATAAAATTACAAAGTGTAGTCAGATGATAACGATGGTGTTTTAAAAAATTAAAATGATAGAGGACATACTCAAAGCGTATGGGTGTGGTTGCTATATTCTATAATGCGCGTTGTCCATGGTTTGAATATTTCAAAGAGAAAAAACAATTTACTAGATGGCTTCAGAACCGGTTATCACACTTGTAAAATTTTTGACAGTTAACCAAAGACAGATGTCGCGTGTATGGTGCTATACCGTTGGCGGCCCTGATTGGCGAGTACGATACAGCTATAAACGTCGATTCCAAGAATGTGCGACGTTAGCCTTTGTGTCGCTTTCGAATTTACTTTCTTTTTTTTTTTATACACAATGAGTGAAATAGTGGTTCAATGGAGAGTCGTTCAGGTTCGACCCTATAAACTATATGACAATTGAACGAGTAGATAACGACAACTGACGCGTCGCTTCAGAGGGCGGCAACTGTACATCCTATACATTGAAAAAGAGCTGAGCATCGAATGTTTTAGAAGGACTAGATTCTTGTCTGGTTAATACTTTGTATACAAGAAAAAGAATGGGCAACCGTTCCCAAAATTAATACATACTATTAAATTGCAAAATTAAAATTAGGCAGCAAAAAGCCTGTTCACAACACTTGTCCCAATTATGCCACGTCCACACTGTGTCTTGATCTCACTGTGCTATCGTTTTTTTGTGTTGTATGCGCTACAATGTTTTTATGAAGTTTAAATTTTTTCGTGAGTGTCCGACACAAATTACCATGTAAATTTTTATTGGCGTATTAACCTATAAAGTAAAAGGTTATATAATATAATACAAGTTATACATAAAATTTACCTACCAACTGTTCTTCTATATGTGAACTGCCTGCAAAGTTAAATAAAACAAGTTATTTTTGTAAAAATAATTTTCGTTTTGTTAAAACATTCTATTTTAATCATTTTTTTCAATTATTAAAACCTATAGTTTAAGTTAAATAGTATAGTCATATAGGGTACAAGGAAATTGCTCCTATTTGAACACTACCTATTCATTGAGTTGGGTTTGATAGTATGTGAAGGCAGAAAAAACAGAACCTTGGTGAACTTATATGCTTAACCTAAAATCTTTGTTACTTCATACACATTTTTTACCCTGGTACAAGTGTCTTCATACATATCTTCTATTATAGAAATTAAATTTTGTATGAAATTGATATTTAATAATTTAATACTGTAGTTTTTACGAAAAAAAAAAAAAATTATAATGTCATTCAATTCTATGTTTAATCTATTGTAAACGTGTATCAAAATTTAAGAGCTTAATATAACAAACAATTAAATCAAACTCTTCAAACAATATTATCGTTAAATTTGAATATATACACTGGTCTAAAAGGTATTTTTTGGAGAAAAAAAATATATTTCTCTAAACCAATTTTTTGCATTCATTTAAAATCTAAAATTAGATTTTTGATCACCTCTTATTTTTTAGACATTACTAATTAGTATCTTTTTGGTCCTATGTATTTAATTAACATAAAAGAATATAATTAGAAAAGTAAAACTCTAAACTTATTAAGCTCAACTTGAAAATTTGAAATTAATATCATTAAATAAAAAAATTTCTGAAGATTTAAAAAATCGTATTTTTAAAATCATGAGAAAAGCTCAAAATTTCGTTATTATTAAATTATTAAATATAAATTTTACAATATATTTAAATTTAATTACTATAATAAATGTATATTCACTAGGCTCTGCCAAAATTGAGACTTTGCATCAAACTAGCTGTACAGCAAGCCTCATGCGATTATGGCACGTTAAACCATTTGGGCTGCCTTACATGTAGGCTACTGATTTCGGTAGAATTACCCAGCGTAGATATGTGTTGTGTAAAAAGGTATTACTCCATAAGTAGTTTACTAGAAATCAGTCCTACTTGCAAATATAATAATAATAATTTAAAAAAAACCTAGCACAGGGGGTCGCGGCACAGTGGTGAAGTGGCATAGTTGGATCAAGTATAATGATATCTGACAGTGATTAAAATCACTATAAAAAAAAAAACGCTTCGATGCAAATCTTTAGATAGTGTTTAATTTTAAAAAAATGGTGTATTATTCCAAAAGCTACACGATCTGCTAGTTCCTTATTAATATCCTGATTAAGATAAAGTATGTCGAATGAAAAAGAGATTATTAAGAAATATTATTTCTCATAAAAAATTGTATTGGTCTATGCACTTTTAATATTTAAAGCCCCCCATATATAGGCAAATGGTCTCATTTAAAAAAAAAGTATGTCGTATTAAAGTTGTATATAAATACTACTTCTCATGAAAAAATTGTATTGATCCATACATTTTTCAAAAAGTTATATCATAATAAAGTAAAAAATGTAAAATACAAAATCGAAAATTTTCACACAAAAATATCATTTGGTAGCCATTTTCACCGTAAAGATAAAATAAAGTCCGAAATTTTTTTTCTTCATAATAAAGTGCATTACATTAGCTTTAATTTAAGATATATATAAAAGTGTCAGTATTTCCGGAACACTTTCAAAAGTTAAGTTGAAAAAGTTAATTTTTTGTGAAAAAGTAGGTAAAGACATCAAGCATCTATAAAAAAAAAATTATATTGATATGTTCATTTTTGAAAAAGTAATTACAGTTTTTATTAAAAAAAATTGAAAAAATTTCGAAAATTAGCGATTTTTAAATTTATAGTTTTTTTAAGGTTTCCCCCATTTACGGAGAACGAGGGAAATTCGTTCAATTTTTGAGGGTAATGTCTTCGACTAGATACGATTTGTTATATTTTGACGTATCATTGAAAGAAATCAGTTCGGTGAGAGCTGTCAAATCATTGTAAGACAGAGCCAAAATCAAATAGCAAGAATAGAGGCTAATTATATAATAATAACTCTTTTTGAACTTTATATCAAAGTCTATTTATAATTTTATGTTTCTAAATATTTTTATTTTGGTAAAATATAAAAAAAATATGCTTGGATCAATTTTTTAATATTTTTATGTTTAACTAGGGTTTTAATACCAACTTAGAAGAAGCTGTACAGTTTTTAAAAGAATGGGAAAGTGAAGCTGCAGAAATTTGTTTTAAAGTAACAAGTGCTCAATGGACGTACGCAAATAATATTACAGAGCATAATAAAAAATACATGGTTTGTTTAATTAAATTATGTAAGAGATAGAAAATAAAATCAATAGCTGTTTTTTTGTGAGTAATTATATAAAGGTTTAACATTATTTTTAAAATAGTTCTATTTTCGAGCTTAACAGTTTAAAAAAATAAAAATGTAAGATTATACGTTATCAAAAAAAAATATTATGCAATATAAATTATAAATTTTAATTTGTACATTATACAGTTATTATAATATTTGTATATTATGATAAAAATATTTCCATGGCCCATCTGCCAGTCGTAAAAGACGACTAATGAGGTTGCGACAGCCGGCTTAAATATTTTTGTCAAATAGTACGAAGTGTCTTGTACAAAACATAGACGAATTGTTCCACCTCGGATGTACGCAGGGACAACAGATGAGAGGAAATAAAAAATTTCAATACGGAGAAGGCCTAAGAAATAAAGTGTTTGATACCAGCCGGACAACTTGTGCGGTAGCTGTTTCACCTGTCATGTGTACAGGTCTACCCAACGCTTGTAGTGTCAACGGTGTAGGGACATCACCACTTAACTCTAGGCTGAACTCGTGTATATGGGAGAAAGATAGATAGATACAAAGTAAGAATAAGTACTTGGAATATTGGAATATTAACTGGCAGAAGTGGAGAATTAATAGAAGTATTGAAGAGGAGAAAAGTTAACATTTGTTGTGTGCAAGAAACCAAGTGGAAAGGAGAGAAATTGAGGGAAATAGGTGAGAGTTATAAAATAATATACTCAGGTAAGTCTAGTACAAAGAATGGTGTACGGATAATAATGGATGAGGAGATGAAAAGTAAAGTAGTAGAAGAAGGTAGGAAAAGTGATAGAATTATAGTCGTAAAGTATTCGAGGTAAAAAGTGCTGAATGTAATAAGTACCTATTCACCACAAATAGGATTTGATGAAATAAACAAGGAAGTGTTTTGGAGAGAGATTGATGAGGTGATGCAAGGGGTACCTGGCAATGAGGGTGCGGTGATAGGTGGAGATATGAATGGACGTGTAGGTAATGAGAGGAGAGGATATGAAAGAGTACACGGAGGGTATGGTTTTAGTGGGAAGAACGAGGCTGGAGAAAGAATACTGGATTTCGCTGTATAATATGATCTTGCTGTGGTTAATACTTAATTTAGAAAGAAGGAAGAACATTATATAACTTATAAGAGTGGGAGGAATAGATCATAGATTGTATATTTTATATGGGAAGAGAGAGCGTAAAGTGAGTAAAAGATTGTAAAGTTATACCAGGCGAGAGTGTAACTCCACAACATAGACTGATGTTAATGGAGTTGTGGTGTGCCGTAAAAAGAATAAACAAAAATAGAAGAAACACAGGGGGGAAATCTAAGATCTGGTGGTGGAAATTGAAAGGGGAAAATGAAAAAGAGTTTAAAAAGACGGTAAAAGAGAGGACGGTGTGGAATGTCGAGGGAGACATAAATGATGTGTGGAATAGATTTACTAGTTCTGTAAAGAATACTGCAAAGGAGATTGTTGGTGAGAGTAGGAGTTGAATGCCAGGAAACAAGGAAACCTGGTGGTTGGATGAGGACGTTCAAAAAATCATAGAAAGTAAGAAAAATCAATTCAAAGTATGGCAGCAGAGCAAAAAGTAAGAAGATTGGATGGAATATAAACGCTTGTGCAAAGAAGCTAAGTGTACAGTAAGTAAGGCGAAGTTTAAGGGGTATGCTGAGTTGTATGATAGTCTAGGAACAAAGGAAGGAAAAAAAGAAAGTGTTGTGCGGTTGATAAGAAAGTAGAGCAGAGAATGAGTGTAGCAGAGATGAGAATGCTTAGATGGATGAGTGGAGTGACTAGAGAAGATAGGATAAGGAACAAGCATATAAGAGGGAGTATAGACGTAGCGTCAATCGTGGATAAGATGAGAGAAAATAGACTTAGATAGTTTGGTCATGTTATGAGGAGAGAAGAATCGGAAGCCGTAGGAACAGCTGTAGAAATGAATGTTGAAAGAAGAAGAGGTAGAGGAAGTCCAAAAAAGAGATGAAGGAATCTTATTGAATGCGATATGAGGACAGCTGATTTGAGCGTAGATGATGTGGGATATCGTGTCAAGTGGAAGTTTAGGATAAGGATGGCCGATCCCAAGTACTAGGGATTAAGGCGAGAAAGAATTAGAAGAATAATTTGTATATTATACAGAATGATGTTCTACCGTGATCACTTTAATTGAACAAAAAATTAAAATAAAATTTAGATTTTTTACTTCTTCTATAATTTTGTTTTTTTTCAATTTATCAATTACGAGATAATTTTTATAGTCATTCCTTATGTTTTATTTAAGTAGTATTTATGTCTAGAGTTTTAAATGGTTAAATAATTTTAATGTCCACCCTTAGGGTGCAAGTGTAGCAACTTAAATATTTTAAATAGAAATATTCCTAATTGTCTATGCATGACGCAACTACCCGCACAAAAGTTGCCGAATGAAGATTTCGTTATTGATGGTTCTTTGTAATAAATCAAATTTTTATGTACTATATTTTATATTATTTTATTGCTATTAAGCATACAATATCAATAGTTTATAACTTAGTCTATGGGTAATTTAAACAATTTAATAAAATATAGCATTAATACGTCACATAAAATATTCTTAACAGCTAAAATTTATACAAACACAAAACGTTTTAGTCTGAACTGGCGCTCTTTAGTTCTACATTAATAATTGTTAAGTGCGTCAACCATATATGTGGCGAATATAATAAAGAATGATACCGAACAGTGACCAATCTTCAGTCTATGGCGTGTTACAGTTGAGCTCGATGCAGTCAACTATTTACATTTATTTCAGCATATTTGCTGAAGAAATACTAATACACACTGTTTTGTGTATTAATTTTATTATAACTAGAAAAGGGGATTTTAAGTATCCAAATAACGCCCACATAACAAAAACCAAAAAGTAATATCTATCAATTTCCGCACAGCGCGTACGTATAGAAGACACACCTGTACCTAAGTGAAGCTATTCCCATCCACCGTACACACCTACCCCTACAGTAAAACCAGTTAGTGCAGGTTCAGCTCAAGACGATGAAAATCGAAACTCGCCGTACTATCCATCTATGGCACAACCGAAAAAACTAACTTATTTAATAGATTATGATATAATTAGAAAAAATATTAGATATAACATTTTTAAAATCCAGTATTTTACAACTTATTAACGATTAAAAATAATAGCTGGAAGTGAGGTGTGAATGTTCTTTTATCACTTGATTTTTCTCAGTCAAATTCTTCTTGTCTCTATATAAAATTGTTAACAATTTTCAAAATATTGGTTTAATAATTATTGTCAATTATTCATTTTTTTAATTAGAACATAATATAAAAATAAAAAAGTTTATTAGAACTATTACTATTACAAAAATTAAGTTGTTACTCTTATAAGATAAAAAGGGGAAAAACTTAAAAATATCTAATGTCTGATAGATTCAAAAACATGTTACCTAAAAAATCTTAATTTTTTTACTTTTAAAGTGGTTATGATAAAAAAATTACCCATATAGAGGTCATTTTGAACCTAATTGACAACTGTTTAAGTTTTTTTTTTATAAATTATCATTTGGATGAAATTTTTTTAAAAATAATAATTGTCTTTATAGACTTTGTTTAAAGTTTATTTTAGCTTTGATACGAAAATGAGAGGGTATCAATTTTACTATTTTGTACTTTGCTTTGTGTATGTGTGTCACTCACCATTTTTCCCAAGCTTCAACTGGATTGATTTTTTTCAATTATAAGTCTAGTATCAAAAATTGTATCTATTGAAGACATGAGCCTTAAAATTTGAAAAAAAAATTCTTTATTAAAATAAATAAAAAAAAAAAACACATCATAATAATACCAGTATCTTCTCAGCTTCGCATAGAAGCTAAAATTTAAATTTAAAAATATAATTAACAGAATTTTTTCATGGAAATCGTACGTTTTTCTTTAACTTTGGTGTCTGTTTTCAACATTAAGAGGTCAATTTTTTTTTTCAAATTAAAGTATATTATATAAACTTTAATTTAAGATTAATATAAAAGTGGCAGTATTTCTGGAACACTTTCAAAAATTAAATTGAAAATGTCCTAGTTTCAATATGCATGTTTAAAGTTTTGATCCCCCTTCTATATAGAGGAATTATCCTCTTTATAAAATAGCCTCTTTATATCCTCTTGATGAAAATGCTATGCAATAGCTTTACCGCGGCAGTCCCCAAGTGCCACACGTTTTTTTTATATTTTATAATTTCAACTTTAAATTGCTATAACTTATTTTCAAAAATACTTTATATTTATTTCTTATCTTATATGTAAAAATAGCTGCCATGATTAAAAAACATGCTATTTTTATATAAAAATAGGTAATAGAAAAAATCTAATTACAGATTTGAAATTTACGCAAAAATTCTACCACTGGATTTGGCCAAGAGTAGAACTATAACAGTGGCACGGAATTATTCCATGTGTCAATAACCTTTTTTCTTTTTAAGGAAACAAAAAAAAAAGACGTTGAACAAATGATGTAGCGATACTTGCCGAGAGAAAAAAAAACAAGAAAATGTTAAATAAAGAAATATATATATATATATATGAATATTAATGTATTTAAAATTAAACAGCAAAATAAAATTTAGAATGATACACTAGTGCAATAGTAATATATATAGATATTACCTTACAAGTACGCCACGAGAAAAAGACGGGTGGCGTTAGTTCACGTAGGACGTCGAAGTCAAGATATATCGTTCACTGCCGGCGCTCCAGTAGATGGACTTTGAACCCTAGTTACATAGCGGGGGTACTCTAATCAGACTGGGCTCACGATGTAATAAGGCGGCTGATGAAAAAGATGAGGTGACCGTGTACTAAACGTATCGTAAAATATACGGTACTGTGTCAGCAATTCCAAAGAAAATTAATGCAAAAGAATGTAAAAAATACAGAACTATAATATTCCTTTCTCACACTTGAAAAATACTTCTAAATATTATCAAGAACAGATTGAGAGAGAACACAATATATCGGAAGATCAGTTTAGATTTAGGAAAGGACGAGAAACAAGAGAAGCTATATTAGTACTGAGACAGATCCTTGAGAGAATTATACTGAATAGAAATACGATAGTCACATTCATAGATCTAGAAAAAACTTTCGATAAAGTGGATTGGAAAATATTATTCAAGACACTAAGAGGAAAAAGAATTGATTGGAAATATAGACGGCTTACCATCAACTTGTATAAATATCAAACGACAAAAATAAATGTATATGGATCAGTAAAAGAAGCAAGAATAAGGAAAGGAGTGAGATAAGGATGCGCCTCATCGCCCAAACTATTCTTTTTTTTCATTGAAATGAGCATAAATATAATGAAAACCAAGAGCAATTAAGTTAAAATAAATGGTCAACATATACACAGTATTTGCTTTCCAGATGACATCGTTATCTTATAAGAGTTCGAACATGATATGAATAGGCTAAAAATTCTACCAAGTATACTTGATGAATTTAAAATGAAAATAAATTCCA